TATAACTTTTCGGCAATGGTGTCCAGTTTTTCGACCTTGATCGTAGTTTATGTAAACATGACTCACATTTCTTGGCTGTTGCGTAAATCTCTGCGTCCAACTCCGGCCACCAACACATATGTCAAGTCAATGATTTCATCTTCTCCACTCCCATATGTCCTTTATGCAATTCATCTGGTACCGTTTTCCGTAGTGGCGGTGGGATTACCAATCGATCGTCGCGACACAATACATCATCCAATTTTACTGATAACTCCTCTCGGTGAGGAAATAACTGAGGATACTTTCTCTTTACCTCTGGCGACCACCGTTTCTTGATTTCTGAGAGTATGGCCGAGTAGTACTGCTTGGTAGATTTGCGTAAAGATTCCCGAGACACTGGCGATGCTGGAGATATGAAATGACACTGCTCGGCCCCAGAAAATCGTGAGTAGCGAGAGAAGAAATCAGCCTGTGGGATTATCTTTCCTGGAGGATGTTGGATTTCATAGTTGTATGCAGCTAGAGCGATACTCCACCTCTGTAGCATAGCAGCAGTGGACTTCGCGATGGATTTGTTGGGGTTGGACAAGAACTGTAGAGCTTGATGATCAGTGATGATGGTAAACCGCAATCCGAAGAGGTACTCATGCAATCGTCGAACAGCCAAATATACAGCTAGCGCTTCTTTCTGAGTCTATGTGTATCCCTTTTCTGCCACATCAAGTAGACATGAAATGCAAATCACTAGGCATCCCTCTTGTTCTAGTATAGCACCGATTCCGACGTCGGACGCATCGGTGATTAGTATGGTAGGTTTTGATGGTGAAAACGGGGCCAAAACAGGACGATCAGTAACGCAGCGAATTAAACCACGTAAGACATCCTCACACTCCATCGACCATTCCAAAGCGTCTGAACATCGTGCACGGAAAAGCGGCTGCGCCCTGGTAGCAAAGTTCGGGATAAATCGGGAATAGTACTGTAGGTATCCCATCTGAAATTATCACCAAACGTTCATCTTAGAGGACACCCATTTAAACTAGTGGTCTCAAAATGCCGCTTGGAATGCCGGCGTCAGTCATTCGCAATCAGAGTGTGTTCGATCTGGAACTCTCTACCATCCCACGTCGTCTGTGCTCCAAGCATTGAGTCTTTCAAACTGAGGCTCGATGAAACACTAGCACATCTTACGTTCCAACATAAGTGAAGCTGCGTGAAGCAGTGGAAAACGCACGTATCACGTGACATTTTACAAAAAGAATTGTATGTATCACTGTTTCTTACTCCACCGCACGAACTTATGGGACCAGAAAAGCATGATCTTGTAAGTTATTCCCATAATAAACCTTTGAATCTTTGAAAAAGAATCTCAAATGCGTTTGATACTTTGGAGATCCGGTGTTATTCAGTGGTTTGAAACGTGTTTGATCGGGTCGGTATCCACGGGAATCAACTGTGAATCCTACAAACTCCAACTCACTCACACCAAACACACATTTGAACGGCTTGGTAGCCACGTTCCTGATGACAAATCGTTCCAGTAGCTGCGTCAGACGGGCATCGTGTTCTTTCTTATTAAGGCCGAAAATGAGGACGTCATCTTGATATGCAAGCACATCGTCGAGGCCTTTGATTACACTGTCTATTGCCGATTGAAAGAGGCCAGACGATCACCGTCTACTTCTAACTTTACCGACGACACCGTTATGCCACCAGCGTTACTGGAACACTGTACAATCAAATGTTGGAGATGTTAGGTGATTGGCTTATCGTTGTTGGTATGTAATGTGATTGGTCCTTGTAGTAGCTGCATTGCTCGCAACCCCAGAATAGACGGACTATGGGCTGATATCAGGAATCGGATTAGGATTGACACACCGGAATCAGATTGAACACAACATCGTTTCGCCAAGTAATTGCAATTGATGGCCGGTAACCTCAATGAATGCGCACTGAAGTCGGGACTAGAACAGCATTGGGATAAATCGCAGTGAGTACTGATTTCGGTAGGATGGATTCGCTGCTTCCTGTGTCCACAATGAATAATGAACCAGACTCGAACCTCGGTGGGGCGAACGTGAACTGTATGTTGGGTTCAGTGGTCTGCAGCGTACATATTGGGCTTGAATTCTCATCTGCCGTTGGTATATGAGAATCGATGAGGTTGAACTTGGGCATTCGGCATACCTTGCGGATATGGCCGCATGCATGGCAAGTGGCATTACGGAAGCGACAAGTCGAACGAAAATGATATTCACCACATGAAAAGCAGCGATTAGTCGCAGCCTTCGGTTGTGTTCGGCTTGAACTGGGTACTTGAGGAACCGAAAGTGAATTATGAACATTGAGTGCATCACGTAATGGTTTCGTTGATTGTCGATGGAATAACACAGGAGTATCCGCATTTGTGGCGGCACGCAAATCATCACTTTGCTCACAGATTTTTCGAGCCTCAGCAAACGTGACTTCTTTCTTTTCCAATATCTTACGTTTTAATGAGATGTTCTTGATTCCAGCAATGAGACGGTCACAAAGTTGTTCTTCCAATCGGTCACCATAGTTGCATTTTGACGCCTGTTTGTTCAGCTGAGGAATGATTTTACGACACGGCATGTTGGCAGCTCTAATCAATGGGTTGAATTAGGCCCGTTCAGTGGCCTGAAAATCCACTGAGAGAATGTGATTCACCAATAGGGCTTTCAACTTCTCGAACGGCAGTGCAACAGGAATATTCGGGAGCACCAGATTCTTCACCAGAGAATACAGGTCTCGACCGCCCAACGTCAAAAGTAGGACCAATTGATTTTGCATTCCAAACGCTCCATTATAATTCGAAACGTTCTACGCACTCTTCGATTTCCGATGGGCCTCCGTGGAGGTTCAATGGTTCAATGATTGGAATCTCCATTGCGCGACGCCAAATTGTGATAATCGGAATAGTACTGAATGTAGAAACACGAGAACCCGTAATGTACTGCTCAGAGCTGAATTGGCTCCAACCCAAACTGTGGACACCAATGAAATACACGAGGAATTGATAGCAGCAAATGCTTATGTTTATTGATGGAATTAGAACATGTTTTATAGAAGGTAATAGGCCATATGATTGGTTGAACGACCGTCCTCCAATCACGTAACGGTTTGTGCCGACGCATCATCTGTAATAACTCGGATGTCACCCCGTGGAAAATAGTGATAATACAGCTCCCTGGCAATGACAAGATTCCAAAATCAAAATGTACTCAGTTCACCGAGGCCGTAAGTATCTATCGAGTGATCTGTGTAATCCATTAGCTCGATTGTTTAGATATTTATGCCGACAATGTTCCCATCGGTTCTGAAATGACTTCAATCTCTTAGATCGAAAAGTGCGGGCCGATTGGAGTTAGAATACAGTTCCAATGATCCGATTAGTGTTTATGGGGGTGGCTACTTGTACAAAACTAAACAACGGTTTCATGTGAAAAGATCTGGATGCAACCCATTGCCGATAATCTGAAGAGAGATTGAGATGCATGCACTCGTTTATTCATACGATCCGTGGTATGTTCACATGAATAGAACTGCAGTGAAGAGTTGGATCAAGCAAATACAGTCATAGATTCGACTAGACAGGTTGACCTACACAGACATCCCTGGTTTTCACCAATTATGGTTGTTCCTTAGGGCAGTGGAGTAATTTCGGGCCTAGTAATATCGAAATATCCGACTTCAGTTTAAAAATATTCAGTAGTATCTACCACTCAAGAAATCATAATCGATGTGGTGATCAAGCTTGGTATACCGCCGTCCTAGCAGCCCGCATGTCGTGCGCTTAAACCCCACTGTCATCATCTAACTTGCACTTCCCATGACCCATCTATGATTGGTCACTTCGTTCTTTTTGAAATTGATTTTGCAATAGTCGTCTATTCAGTAAACAAATAAAGCAAAACGAATAAAAAGTAAAGAAAAATAGGTGAAAAAAATTCATCATTGATCACAAGGGCACAGTAAATGTACTCTCAGTTTCCTCTTCATTTCGTGTCCGCATTTTTACGCACTATCAAGTCCCTGCATACACACACACACAAACAAAATGTCTAAAAATTGCAATCCTCCGGATCATTATTTTGGTATGATGCACTACTTTTTTCGGGAATGGCGCGAAACGAGTTCCAATAGAAGTCACATCCATTCTGAAGGGCATTAAGGCCAAAAATGAAGCTAGCGATGTGGAACAAACTAGCAGAATACTTTCGCACGTGTTTGGTTGTTTGAAATAACCATCGAAGGGCGATAAAGCTGCTGCAAGAGAGAAGAAACTCGAGAATGAATTCATTTGTCCGTGATTTGACAAAATTTAAACAGTCATCCTCATTTGTGTGTATGCTCTTAATTTACTCCATTGAGGATGACTAGTGTAACTTGCCAAACCGGGTACAGGTGAATTCACTCTCGCATTGCTTCTCTCTTTCAACCATCGACGGGTATTTCAAACAACATATGTATGTGCGGTGGAAATGTTTGTGATAACCGACAAACA